GGAGCTTCCCAGCCAGATACCTGCTAGAAAGGAAGAACAAGTGGGCTCGCGTGTCCTGGGGCTATCTGGAATTACAGACTCCTTTTCCCCCGTTTGTCCCTTCATCGTCCATCCCACTGCTGCCCAGGAAGAGGAAGAGGATGACTCCTCCACGGCCTCAGACAGTGACGTTCTCATCCAGGACAGCTACGAGCGCGCAGAGAAACAGCCCATCCTGTCTGTGCGTAAGTCCTGGGGTTCTGTGCAGCCCCCCCAGCCCTTGGTCCTTAGGAAGTCCCCCTGCAAAACCCCTCCAGCATTTCCTGCCTGTGGGTCGGTTCCCAGGAAGACACTTGGTAGAGTTACAAGATCAAAGGCCGTGGAGTCCTGGGCCCAGGCCTGGCCCCGCTGGCCCTGCCACTACCTGCCGTCACTGACCTGGGCCCTCATGACAAGGCTCCACGCTGATGATGAGGCACGGGCAGGCTTTGGGAGGGGCTCAGTGCCAGCCTGCTCCCAAGCCCCTGAAAGGCCGCCTTGCCACGAGGCCTGCCTGCCTCTGGTTGTCTCCCTAGAGTCCTGCCCATCCGTTGGCATCAAGAATAAAGAAGCGGCCGCCCTAACAGAGGTCGCGGCCTCCAGGGGGCTCCCCAGTGGTGGAAGCTGGGCGAGTTACTTGACCTCTGCCCCTCAGTTTCCCAGCTCTCCCCATTGTGGAAATGATGAAGTGCCTGGGCTCGTGCCCAGTGCGTGTGAGAGCTTGAGGGCGTGTCGGCTCCCGGCCCCTCTTACTCCTCCACCGTGCCCCTGCCTCCATGTCCTGGTCAGGCTGGGCCAGGGCGAAGAGTCCTGCTCCCCCTCAGGCCCCGTAGAGAGCACCCGCAAATATGTTTGGAGCAAGAAACATTAGAAGAAGTGTCCTCCCAAAAGTTAGATACTTGGGGCCGGCAGGTGGTCTGATGGTGACCACGGTTCAAGTCCCAGACCTGGTGTCTTAGTTCCTCTCCTTCTGTCTCTCTGCTGAGAGTATGTGCCCTATAGCAAATTTTAAAATAGGAATAAAGAAAATTAAATAAATGATTCCTTAAGGGAATAAAAAAGAGAGAGAGAGAGCTGGTCGGGGATTCGATCCCTCTGGAGAATTCAGTGAGCTCAGCCCCACCCCACAGGAGCTTATCCGAGTGAAAGAACTACCTCTTCCCTGTCCTTTTGGCTCCACAGAGAGACGTGGATCTCCCAACCTTTTTGAAATCACGGACCGGGTGGAAATGGGACAGATGGCCTCCATGTTCTTCAATAAAGGTAGCGGTTCTTTCTGGGGTGGGGCGTGGGGAAAGAGAGCCGGCACGTCCCCCAGTCCCGGGCCCTCGTAACGAGGTCGCACGTTGACGGCCAGGGATGGGCAGGCCTCCGGAGGAGCAGATTGTCACCCTGCTCCCAAGCAGCTGAGAAGCCGCCTCGCCTACAGGCTTGTCCTGCCTCCAGCTGGAATCCTGCCCGTCCATCGGCATTAAGGAAAAGGAGTGCTGCTCTAGCAGAGGTCAGGGGTCGCAGGCAGCTTTCCAGGGCTGGAAGCCGATGGAGGGCTGCTGGTCGCTTTGTGCCTCTCGCTTGATTACTTGTGACTTCGCTCTTTTCTTCTGTCCTCTCCTGCCTAGGACAATCTCTCTGACAGTGATGGGATCTGTCACGCGCGCACCTGGGCACATCTTCCTAGTGGCCAGCAGAGGGCGCCGAAAGCCCACACCCAGGGTGCCGTGTGGGCATCCGAGGCAGCCTGAGCCTGGTGGTGGTGATCTGCTCCCCACACCACCTGGTCTTCCCAGGATTTTCTTACTGCGGAGGGACCCACCCAGCTCAGGCATTGGGTTATTGGGGGTTCCCGCAGCCGCGTCTTCACCTGTGCCAAGTCTGGTTCTTATAGAAGATGAGCTATTTGAGAGTTTGATTTTTAATGCTCAGATCTGCCCATTTCCACTTCATTGAGGGTCAGATACATTCTCAGAAAGTCCTTTTCCTCGTGGCTATTTTGGAAGAGTTTCTGTCCCTCACTAAAGTCCCCGTTTGTCCAGTGGAGCGTCTCCACAGTTCTTTCTAGCCTTGAATGTAGCTGCACTTAGCTCCAAGCCTGGGGGATTGGAGAAACCCCAGTCTCCACCGCTTTGCGGAGCATGAAGCATTCAGCCCTGCCATTAGCGGAGTGGTGTGACCGGATGATCAGTAAAAGGCTGCCTGAGGGTCTGGCCCCGTCCCTGCTGGACCAGCCTCAGAGAGGATTTCAGAATGCACCCAAACCAGACTGGTGCTGTTCAGCCCACGTCTGAGCTTTCATTTGTTCTGTTCTGGTTATTTTCTTTTGTTCTGTCCCCATTTCTGTAGGCTAAGAGCCCGCGCTTCCTCCTGGGCCTTGCAGAGCCCCCGCCCAGACGTGAGCTTTCAGCATGAGGGCACCCTGGAGGGGACGGCTTTGCAGACCTGTCCCATTCTCAGGTTCCGCAGCCACGGTCTGCCCTGATTTCTCTAGGAATTCTGCAAACTCGTGCTTTGGTTTTTACATTTCTGCCCCCGTGGCTAGAGTCCTGCTTCACCTGAACGTACCAGGAAATAAACACATCGAATGAGAGCAGCTCAGAGTTCAAGGGCGCTTCCTTCTCGCCTGCTCCAGGGATCCCGGGCTCAGAGCTGCTGACGTTCTGTCCAGACAACTCGACCATGGGGTCCGTGGGGTTCGTCCTGTGCAGTGGACTGGCTGTGTCTCCTGGCATGCCTCACCTCTGCCCACGGGTTGCTAGCTGTCCCTCCTAGTTCTGGGCGTCAGAACTGTCCTCAGGTGTTGCCAGATGTCCCCAGAAGAGGCCGTGCTGGGGGAGAGGAAAGCAAACCCACTGTTGTCATCGTCCCCTTTGTCAGAGCCGCCCCCCTCCCCAAAAGTCTCCCTTGGGATCCCAACTCATTTCTTGTCATCAGAAATGCCAGGCGCCATCATTGTTCCCCTCTCAAGTCCATCGATCTTCCCGTTCTGCGTCTAGTAATGAATCGTACCAATGAGGGGCTGGTTCATAACCCGCTGACGTTGGAGTCCGTGGGCAGGTGGAGCGTTTGGGGTAGGGGGGACAGTGCAGGGAGCGTTGGCTGCAGAGCAGAAAGACAAGCTGGAACCTGGGGCTAGAGTGACAGGCTGAGCCCAGGGGACAGAGTTTGGACATCGAGGCTGTCTCTGACATATCAGGAAAGACAGAGACACCACAGCCTCTGGAGTCGTGGGAGAGCCAGGTGTTCCTAGCCTCTGCCCCGGACTCGCAGGAGCAGAGCTGACCTCACGTAGCCCAGAGTTCTACATCCTGGGCTTTCCCTCGGGGCCCCCGCAGGCACTCTGGAGCCATCAGGATCAGAAGGAAACTGTCACTTCATTTTTCTTTCTGTCCTCAGAGAAGCCAGCAGCTTGAGCCCAGTGAGACCAAAAACTTGAGCAGTCGGTCTGAACGGGGGTTTGAGGCTGGCTGTCCAGGACCGTCGTCCCCAGGTGGTCGGCCCGGCCATCTCTTTCAGGGCTCTCCCACCTGGTCTTTATGGCTGGAGTCGTATGTGGATGAGAACACAGGTGGACTCCTCCCGCTGCTGGGGAAAAGGTGCTCAGGGCCAAGCCAGGGTCCCAAGTCCAGTGTCATGGGCTTAGAACGAGAGCCCTGCATTCTCAGCTCCTACTTCAGGGGAAGGAGCAGCAACGGTTTGCCTCTGTAGGGAGGGCCTCAGTGTCTTGTGGCTTCTGGGGTCACCATCCCTTGCGAGGGGAACCGGCCCAAGCTCCCACTCCTGCTGCTCCGTCCCTCACCTGCACACCCGGTCACTTTGGCCACTGGGTGCTTGGTAACCAGTCAAGTCCAGGGTAGGCCACTGGGTCTTTGGAAATGCAGGGCTTTTTACCCTCTTAGTTTGGCTTCAGGGAGCTGGGCCATTTCCCCTGGACCTCTGTTTGCTTCTGCTCTTCAGTAGCCATCTCTCGTCTTAGCACCCTCGTTGGCAGATAGCCCCAGGGGATCCGGCCCCAACTCCAGGCATCTCCTCCGCTCATTCTGTCCCTAGTGGGAAGGCACCTCCAATTCCTGTCCTGGCCAGGCCCCGCCTCTGGTTTCAAGCCTCGGGTCCTCCCAGGCTCCCCGAGCCTCTCAGGTGAAAGTCACAAGCTGAAGCATGTGCTGCCAGCAGCGTGAAGAAGCCAGCCAGAACAGGAAGCGGGACTTGGGGTTGTTCTTCCACTTTTTATTGAAAGCACATAGCTTAGCGATCTAGAAGAGGAAGCAGTTTGGTCACCCCTGACCTCTAACCTTCGACCTTGTTCCTTTCAGTCGGGGTCAACTTATTCTACTTCTGCATCATCATTTACCTGTACGGAGACCTGGCCATCTACGCCGCGGCCGTGCCCTTCTCCCTCATGCAGGTGACCTGGTGAGTGTCCCCAGCCCAGCTGGCCGATGCCGAATGGGCCTCCCCGGCCGGCAGGGTGTTCAGGGTGGAAGCAGCACCAGGCGAGTCCGTGGCACCTCAGGACTGCAGGTGCACATGCCACAGGCAGCCCTGCCCTCTGTCCTCGGGATGCCCTGTGCACTGCGGGCCCCGTCCCTGCCCTGGGAGGAAGACTGCCATGATTCCCACCAGGGACTTCCGAGGCAGAGAAAATGGAGCCACAGGCACAAGTAGGGCACATCCTAGAAGAGACGTCCTCGGAGGTGGTGTGTGCGAAGCCTCCTGTTGGCGCAAAAGCAGCTGAGGAGGGGGTGGCCCTGCCCCTCCCAGCTGCCCAGCAGGAGGGCCGGTCTGAGCCCCATCCACTCCTCACCAGCAGCGCCACTGGCAACGACTCCTGCGGCGTGGAGGCGGACACCAAGTACAGCGACACCGACCCGTGCTGGGGACGGCTGCGCCGCGTGGACGCCTACCGCATCTACTTGGTGAGTGTCCTCACCCCCGCGCCTGGCCCAGCCTGTAGCACTCCAGGCCATCCTGGTGGCCGAGGGCGCGCGAACCTCCGTTCCTTCCTCGGAGAGGCTGGAGCCTGGGCTCTGGGCAGAAAACGGATCGTGTCACTAAGACGTGAGCTGCAGTGTGTCCCGGCAGCCGGGCCGTCGAGTCCTCTCTGGTGGAGCATTCGGGTCGTCTCCTGCTCCAGGGCTGGGAACTGTTGTAACTTAGCCGAGGGTTTGCAGGGCAGTCTCAGGCAAGTTCTTGAGGCATTCCCGGGACTTCCCCACTTCGACCTTGCATCTGGCCAGCCCAAGGGCATCTGGGAAGTTGCTGGGCCTCTTTCTGGGTCGGGTGGGCCGGTCCATCTTACAGTGGACCCTGGCCATCGTGCTGGGGCTCTCCTGATAGGCAGGACCAGCCTGGTGTCTGCCTGTCTCCCCTCCCAGCGGACAGGGAAGATGAAGCTCTGGGCTCGGTCTTGATAGCTCTGTGCCACGGTGTGGTGGGGCGGCACTGAGATGCCAGACGGGGCTTGGTAGCAGATGCAGAACCAGAGGCCACTCTTCATCTCTGCCTGCTTTGCGGCAGGCAGGACTCAGAGGTGTTTCCCTTTAACTTTGCAGTCTTTGTTAATATTCTCTGCCAGCGGACAGGGAAGATGAAGCTCTGGGCTCGGTCTTGATAGCTCTGTGCCACGGTGTGGTGGGGCGGCACTGAGATGCCAGACGGGGCTTGGTAGCAGATGCAGAACCAGAGGCCACTCTTCATCTCTGCCTGCTTTGCGGCAGGCAGGACTCAGAGGTGTTTCCCTTTAACTTTGCAGTCTCTGTTAATATTCTCTGATTCCTCTTGATCCTCCTCAGCCCCGACACATATTTAGGTATGCCAGGTGACATGGAGATTGACACGTGGCCACTTAGCTGATTGGGAGGAGGAAGCCGGGGGCCAGCAGAGAGCCGAGCCTTTCGGGGAGTTGGCCTCTTTGCTTAATTATCTCTACCCTGGCAGAGGTTCCCACAGGCCCTGCCAGCTGTGGTATTTGGTTCTGGATTTGTTAACCCCAAGGGCCAGCGAACCGGTGTGTTGAGCTTTGTTGTTTTTGTCGCTTTGCTTTTGTCCCTTCTAGCTCCACTGTAGGCCTGCTGCGGGAGCCCATGGCCAGGGCTGTGAGGCAGCTTCATTCCCCTCTGTGCGTTTCTGGAGCGGCTGGGTGATGGCCCGTGTGTGGTCTCTCGCACAGAGCTGTGGCTAGGGTTTTATCTTTTAGTAGACTCATATGCCCAGTCCCCCCATGGCAAGTCCAGGGGAAGCGTGGTAGCCAGCTGATTGCCTGGCCCCTTCCCCACCTGCCCAGGCTCAGAGGTGGTTTAAGGAACTGGCATGGCCGGCAGGAGAGCCCTGGCGTGAGCAGCACAGCCGAGGCCACTAGCTTCTCATTTCAGCAGACTGTGATTGATGGAGTGAGTGGGGCCATGAGTACGTGTCAGGCCCCGTCTGGACCTCTCACGGGGGAGATGGACAAAGGAAGGAGACAGAGACGTGAGACAGCGTGTTCAGGGCAGAGGCGGCAGCGGGTGGCTCAGGTGACTGTCTGCCGGGACGCTGCAGGAGTCCACACAGAGCCCGCCTAGCCCACTCCCCGCCTCCCAGCAAAGTGGCTCCCCGCCTCCCAGCAAATTGGATCCCGAGCCCCGGGAATATTGGCTGCTGCCGTTTGCCTGGTAAATTATTTAGAAGCATTATTATTGCCTGTTAAATTGTTCCTTCACTTATTCCTATAAACCTTGCACATGATGGAAGCCTCCCTCCCTGACTCTCAATAACTCTCTGACCGAACAGAAGGAACTCTTCAGGAAGCAGTCGGGCATTAATTACTGCCTCATCTCCCAGATATTGCACTTATAACTCAAAGGGCTAATTGTCGTCGGCACCAGCCAAAGCTGCGGAAATAGGACGCCTCGTCTCAGGCCAGGCATGGAAGTGCTGGCTGCCCCCTAGAGCCTGTCCCGTCTGGGCCACTGACACCATCCCTCTTGCGGCCCGTCCACTGCTGGGGGCTTCGCTCTGCCCAGAGGACTTCCGGTTTATAGTTGCTTTTCCACCTGGCGTGGAGACGCTGGAGGCAAACGGGCCTTTCCAGCTTTGCATGTGGCTCTGAGGATCGGAGGTCCCGCAGAGCAGCAAAGCCCCAGTCCCCAAGCACCGGTGCGTCCATCACTGTGCAGTCCCCTGGCCTCCCTCTGGTTGGAAAGGGCAAAGCGCCTGGAAGCGATCGGAGGCAAAGTTGGGAGCTTTGTCTTGATCTCAGGTTCCCTTGCAGGTGCTGCTGGCACCTTCTGCCAGGTCCGGCCTGCAGGGCTCACCCTGTGTGCAGTCTTCATGGAGGTCTGGGAAGCTGGATTCCATAAGTGGCCTTCTCAGATCCCAAGGGGAGGGCTGCCCTTCCCTTTGCCCTGAGTCATTCACCTTTAGAAGATCGCTGGGCCCTTCTGGACATGACCTTTTAGAGCCTCTTAACACCACCAGCTGTTCCTGATCCAGCCACCAGCCAGACTTCACCCAGAACTCTGCAAGGCAGCAGGCAGGTGGGGGAAGGGGCCGAGCGGGGTTAAAGTACCCTCCACCCCCTGCACAGACATCTCTGGGTCTCGGGCAGGTGACGCTCCTCGCCCTCCTGCATTGTTAAGAGGGCCTGGTAATTACCACTTCCTCATTGCTATGCTGGGACGGTCCGTTCTCAGGGATAAAGATACAGCTTTTGCATTGTCATCTAACTTTTGGAAAGTCGTCTGGAAACAAGCTCTCCTCTCTCCCCAGGAATGCTCCTGACACGCACACACACGTTGAGAATATTCGGGCTGTTAACTCTCCCCAGAGGGGGCTTTCTCTCCCAGCAGCGACCTGACGAGTGGAAAATTCCTCCTCTCTGCACGCCCTGCGACCCCAGTGACCCCCCAGTGCAGCTGACATGAGTCAGTTTCTCCCTCTCCTTCTCTGCAGTGGCCACAGAGCAGGGTGCTGTGGGGCGAGGGGCCTGAGGGTCACGTGCCGTTTCACGTGCGCCCTCTGGGTGTCACAGTGGGCCCCACAGCTGGAGCCAGCCATGGTGGGGCCTGTTCCCAGGGCCTGTGAGGGTTTTCTCAGGCTCTACTTTCTGCTGACCTCGGTCAGTCTCAGGCCCCAGCCCCTGCCCTGCTGCTCCTTCAAAGAATCACATGGGAGTGGGTCAGGCGTCCCAGCTCTTTGAAGAGAGCAGCCTTGCCTCCAGGCTGGGAGCTCCTCGGGGTGCTTTCTGCAGCTTGTGGCCGGGTAGGGGGGAGAGGAAGAAATGGGGAA